TTTTAGAAGTCTCTCCAGTAAATTACCAGAGACTGGAAATATGTGGGAGAAGGAGGGGTTTTTTTGTTTTTGTTTTTGTTTGGTTTGATTTGGTTTTTCTTTGTTTTTCGAGACAGGGTTTCTCTGTGTAGCTTTGCACCTTTCCTGGAACTCACTCTGTAGCCCAGGCTGGCCTTGAAGTCACAGAGATCCACCTGCCTCCGCCTCCCAAGTGCTGGGATTAAAGGCGTGTGCCAACACCGCCCGGCTAGGAGGGTGTTTTTAATCATTCAATTTCCTTACTAGGTATGGAGCTATTCAAACGTTCTGTTTCTTGTGTCAGATAACTTGTAGTTCTGTGTGAAGGGGATCGCTTCATTTCTTCAGAGATCTCATATCTATACATAGAGAGAAGCTTATGATATCACCATCATGGTCTTTTGTTCTCCAGGTTCTGCAGATACTTCTGTTTCTAATATTATTAATGTGTGGCTTTCTTTCCTCATTATTTTTCCTAGAGATTCATTCATTTTATCTGTTCAAAGAACACACTTTCACCGATCTGCTTCTTCTGACTCCTCTCAATTTTGCTCCTTATTACTCCCTCTTTCTGCCTACTTTGGGTCGCTTTGTACTTCTTTTTCTTGAGTTTTGGGATAGGAATTTAAGTCACTGACTTGGTATTTTCTCTTTTCTATTGTTCTATATGATGCTAAAAAATTTTCTACTCTGCCTTCTTTTGGGTGCTTCCCACAAGTTTTGATGTGGTGCATTTTCTTCAGGTCAGTAGATTTTAAGTCCCTTGAAATGTTCTCTTTAATCATAGATTAAATATAAATTTAATCATGGATTATTTATATCAGTGTTATGTGTTGAGCCCTTTATATCTTTTGCTGATTTTCTAAACATTGCAATCAGATGTTGAAAAAAAAAGACGTTGAAATATCCAACTGCAATCAAAGAACTCCTTATTTCTCTTGACATTTCTGTGACTGAGAATTTCTTCACATTTCTTACAGTTTTTCATTTGATACATAAACTTTTTACTCTCACTGTGTCTTGGTGTATCCACACTTTCATCTGTGATGCCCTCTGTCTCTGATAACTTGCCAGGCTTGGAAGCTGACTTTATGTGATACAAATGCAGCCACTAACATCCTTGTTTGATTAATGTCTATATGGTAGCCTTTTCAAATTTTTAATATAAATCCAACTATCTCATGTTTTGAGCCTATTTTTATATAAACTATATAGTTGGACCATGTTTCTTTTTTAACCTTTTCTGGCATTCTCTGTCATTGAGTGTATTTAGAGAATTTGCATTTAATTAAGGGCCATTATCTTTACATTATTGTTTTTGTATTCTCTAGTTTCCTTTGTTTCTGTTTTCTATTTTTTTTTTTGTCTTTGAGTTATTTGGACATATTCTGAATTCTACTCTGATTTTCTGGTGTTTTTGAGTATATCTCTTTGTTAATGTTTAATTTATTTGGTCCAGTATAATATAGCAATAACTTCTAACAGTCTGCTGGTGGTGTCTTCATCCTACCTGCTCAAGCGATGGGTAGAAGGCATATGGCTCTTACTAAATCTTTCCCCATTTATGACATAACTGTATTTCCTGCGTATGCGTTTCTAATGGGGTCAGATTAAGCTGAAAATCATAACACAGGAACACAAAAGGAGGGAGGCTCCGCTGTAGTGCCTGTTTTCCTCCTCCCCAGGCTCTCTTCTCCATCTCCATGGTCTCAGATTTCCTTGTTCTCCTCTTTGGACTTATGGTTAACTCAGGTGGTAACAAATTCTCTTGGCTTCCTTTCATCTAAGAATGTCTTGATTGCACTTCATTCTTGAGTGCTTTTCTTTGGATTTAAGGACTGAGTTCGTGGTTTTCTTTCTCACTGATTTTTATGAGAATTTTCATTCGAATTGTTTTCTCCATGAAAGAAATGCTGTTCCTCTCTAGCTGCTCTTAGGACTTCTCTTTTCTTTGGTTATCAGTTTAACTAGTACGTGGCTTGGTGTAGATTTCTTCATGTTTTCTGTTTAGAGTTCCCATGGATTAATAAGCCTATAGACCTATGCCTTTTCTGTCAAACTGGTAAGTTCTCTGCCATTAATTCTTACATTCTCTCCCTGTTTTACTCTCTCTCTCTCTCTCTCTCTCTCTCTCTCTCTCTCTCTCTCTCTCTCTCTCTCTCGTCACAGCACAGGTATGAAATATTTCATTACAGTCCCACTTCTCACTAATATTTTGGTGTGTTTTCTCTTTGCTGTTTAGACTGCTGAATCCTATGTTCTGTCTTGAAATTCATTGATCCCTGATTCCACCCACCCACTAAGGATTTTATTTCAGTTACAGAAAATGTTTCAGGCTGAAACAGGTATGTTTCTCCTCTATAGCTTCTATTTCTTTACTAAGACTTTCTATGTACTTTCTGAATCTTTTATTGTTTGTTGCAAAGATGTTCACGATTTGTCACTTGGTCATTTTCATAATGGTGGCTTACATTTTTGGCCAAAATTTTTTTAACATTGGTTATCTCAGTGACAGCATCTGTTAAGCACTTTTCAAGAGATTTTTTCTTTTTTCCGAAACTTTATCTTTATTTATTTATTTATTTATTTATTTATTTATTTATTTATTTATTTTTGATGTTTTCAAGACAGGGTTTCTCCATGTAGTTTTGGTGACTGTCCTGGATCTTGCTCTGCAGACCAGACTGGCCTTTAACTCACAGGGATCCACCTGGCTCTATCTCCTGAATGCTGGGATTAAAGGAGCGCGCCACCACCGCCCAGCCTTTATCTTTATTTTTAATTATGTGCATGTGGAGAGAGATATACGCATATGAGTGCAGGTGCCCAGGGAGGCCAGAGACAGACTTCCTGAATCAGGTGGTTGAGAACTTCCAAAAATGGGAGCTAGGGACTTAACTTAGGTCTTATGCAAGAGCCTTATCTGAGTCATCTCTCCAGCCATGCCTTTTTCTATTTAGTATGAGATTTTTCCTAATTTTTGAAATCTGGATATTTTAGACCTTGTGTCATCATCGAAGTCAGATCTTACTTAAACCCTCTGTTTTGCTGGCACTCTACTATACCTCTTTCAGCAGCACCACAATGGGGCAAGAAAGGAGGAGCTCACTAGATGGGGACGGAATTCCCATGTGGTCTCAGCTGACAACATGGACAGACAGTCTACTCACTACTCCAGCAGGATGAAGGACTTCACACACACACATTCATCATTCTTCTCTCACTAAGGCAAAATACATGAAAAAAAGAAAGCAACCTAAGGGAGAAAATATTTATTTCGGCTCTTGGTTTCAGAGAGTTGGGCCCACGCCCGGCTGCCGCCACTGCTGTGACCAGAAGTAGGTGGCAGAGAAAAGGTGCTGACTCATGGGAACCAGGGAGCAGAGAGGCGGAGGAAAGGAAGAAGCCAGAGACGGGCAATGCCCTTCAAAGACATGCCCTATTTCCCTGCCCCTCTCATCCAGTCCATTGTCGTCCACAGACTCTACCACATCCCAACAGTACATTTAAGCATAACTCGATCCGTGGATTAGATCAGGGCACTCACGACCCAACCGTTTCCCCAAAGCCCGAGACCTCAACTTTGCATTGGAAACCAAGTCTTCAAAACATAAGGCTTTAGGAAACATTTTATATCCATGCCACAATACAACTCCATACTCAGCCTGCCTTAGTGACAATCTGGTAAGGGTGAGACAAGCTGGCAAGGGCACACTTGTCACTAGGCCTTTCCTGGTAAAGGAAAGAGAATGGGAGCACACTGTCTTTCTGTGGTGTCTGTACAGATTCAGCAATTACTGACTTGATATAATGAAATAATACGTTTTCAGTGGGGCATGTGTGCATGGATTAGGGTGTATGTGTGCTGTAGTGTATGTGTGTGTGTGTGTGTGTGTGTGTGTGTGTGTGTGTGTGTGTGTGTGTGTGTATGTGTGTGTGCTGAGTCATGAAACATGTGAACATGTGAGTCAGGCCATCTGTCCATCTGTTGGGGTATGTGCATGTTGCTGTGTGTGTGTGTATGTGTGTATGTGTGTTGAGTCATGCATGCATCTTGTGAATGTGTGAGTTTGACCATCTGTCTATACAGAGCATGTATATGTTGCTCTGTGTGTGTGTGTGTGTGTGTGTGTGTGTACCTATTGCTGTTTCCAGATTTCCAAGTTTTATAGGTCAAGTCCAAAATATGTGGAGAAAAAAGGAAACCCAGGCAGTGGTGCAGTGCCATGCTGTTCTTTGGGTCCTAACGTTCCTAGATACTGCACTTCCTTCTCTGCACTTCTAGAGTTGTCTTGGGTTGTGATCTCCAGAGTTTTCAGGACCTTGGCAGAAAGCATAGGGAAAAGCGAAAGTCTTACACCCAACTCTCAGGAAATTATCACTAACCACATTGTGGTATGTTATTAAAGAAGACCCACAACTATATAAGAGATGCTCCTGAAATATGTTTGTCTTTCCCAGCTACATATCTTTTTAAAGCCAGAATTTTTCTCATATATTCTAACCAAACAAACAACCCAAAAGGAATCGATAGAGAATGAATGAGAATTCAATATATAAAGAGGTTTGCCAAGTGAGTAAAGTAAGAAACAAATTCTAGTTTTCTCGCTCCACTTAGGTGTTGGAGACTGTAATCACAGGAAGCATGGTGGTGGGTGGTGCAATGCTAGCACCCAGGAGATCGGGGCAGAGGGATCAGCAGGGAGAAGCCAGCCTGACCTGGACTACACAACAAGACAATGCTGCAAGACAGGAAGATGAACTGGTGGAATCACGTGTAACACCGGGGTTTTACTCTTCTAAAATATCTTTACAGATATCTAACACTCTCTGATTTAAGTTTTTGTAAATGCTCAAAGACACAGTTCACACTAACAAATATTGAAGTCCTCAATAACAGCGTTCAAGCATGACAAGAGTCCAAACCAAAAAGTTTAAGAACATGTGAGCTAGAGAAACCTAATATTAATGGAAATTCTTACTTCTTCTCCTGAGAGCTTCAGGTTTGGTTGGCGAGCTTGCCATTGACTTGTCTGAGCCAATTCAGGGAAATCCTCTGTTGGGATTGGTGAAACACCGATTTGTCGTTGTTCCTCACTCATAACAGGAACGCCATACACTATTCTACAATGTGACAAAAATAATAAATGTGTTTTTAAAGTTATTGATTAAGCCAAAAGGATCACCCTCTTTTCACTTACCTCTGCTTAGATCAATGTGTTGACATTTAATATCAGCACTAAGCAGATTGTGGAGAACTCAATTCAAAATTTAAAAAATCTCCTTCTAAACACAATTAATTTGTAAGCTTTGTGATGCTTTTGATTCATTATACGGGAAAAGTAAGTTTGCTTGATAAATACGTAACAACAAAAGACATTGAAACCTTATTTGGGGGCTAGACATATGGTTCGGTGGTTAAGAGCACTGGCTGCTCTCCCAGAGAACCTGAGTTCAGTTTCCAGAACCATAGCTCTTCCAGAGGATCCAAAAACCTCTTCTGGTCTCTGCAGGCACCAGACATGCATGTGGTTTACAGATATACATGCAACAAAACATCCATAGACAAAAAAAATACATTTTAAAATAAATTTAAAATAAAATTAAAATTTATTTCTAACTTTCTTCCCCACTTCAAATTCACAACCAAATATTATTTCTTGGATTGGGGCCAAAACACCAACACAAGTAGAATTGCCAACACACTTCTAGTTTTCCCTTTTGGACTTACATCTTGCCAAATTGAAAATGTTTAGCATCAGCTCTTTCCTCAGTAGATAACACAGGCTTATAGCTAAGAATGTATATAGTGTACATACATATATAGTATAAAACTCAAAGTTTGGAAGCAGAGTGTATCAATAATAGGTTTGGGAGTTAATATACTAACCAAGCACACCAAATGGTCTTTATGCTCAAGCAAATCTAAATATAGGCTGGAGAGATGGCTCAGCGGTTAAGAGTACTGGCTGCTCTTTCTGAGGTCCTGAGTTCAATCCCCACAGCCATGGTGGCTCACAACCATCTATAATGGGATCTGATACCCTCTTCTATCTGATGCCCTCTTCTGTCATGCAGCAATATATGCAAATAGAGCATTCATATACATAAATACATGTATCTAAAAAAGGAAAAAAAAGTATAAATATCACTGACACTGTCAGAAGACAGACTCTGTAATGAGGCTCCCTTGCTATTATGTTGGTGTTATGATTGGAATATGATTTGTATTCACCAAAACTCATGTTGAGTCCTGATCCCAAAAGCAGCAATGTTGGAAAATAGGGACTAACTGGAGGAATTTGTGTCATAAGGCTACAGCTCTGTTCAATGAGTCAATGCCATTTTTCCAGGAATGAGTTAGCACTGATGGATGGGAATTCATCTTCGTTTCTGTTTTTCTCATGAGATACAGAAGCATGAGTCCCTAACCAGATGCAGCTGACCACTCTGGAACTTCTAAGACTCCAGTATAAATCTGGTTGCTTAGCTGATTTTTTAATAAACTATCCAGTCTTGAGTATTCTGTTAGACCAACACAAAACAGACTAAGACACTTGAGTAGTAGACACTACTACCTTTCCTTCTTTAATCCATTTCCTCATTTGCAACACTGATTGGTTCTTATATCTACTGCTCAAGAATAATATGTGCAAAAGGTGTTTCAAACAGTACATGTTCAGTAAGCAGCTGAGATTATAATCCATATTCTTACTATCAAGGAAGAGGATAAAGAAACGAACAAGCCCATCTCTCCAAAAGTAAAAGCTAAACCTTTTTCAAAGTCGACATCGGTCGACCGTCAGACCAGGGGATGAAATATATTTCTTACTGTGAGTTGCTGTCAGAATCTCAGAAGACATGGGATCTGAGCTGTGAGAACACTTCTCTAAATTATACATAAGCAACCGTGAAGCACATCCCATGGTGCGTGGAGGTTTCTTCCTCTGGCAGCCTCCTCTGCCTTAGGAGGACCCTGGGGAGAGGAGTTCCACATCACAGCAGCTTCATTCTCTTTTCCTGAGAAAGTGTACCTTGCTACAAGGCATACAAAATCTGAGGGAAAGTTCTCTGGAGCCCACCGTCACTTTCAGGTAATATGTGTATTGGAAAACTAAAGATACTCACTTACAGAAAGTTTTGCAAGGTACCATTTATTTGCAATAGCATGTTTTGTATACCATTTTCAAAACATTCATAGCTAACCACTAAACTAATTTTTACAGCCCATTTACAGGGTTTCGCTCCACAATCTGTAAAATTGTGACTTAGAGAGATTGCTTTAAAAAAAAATCCTAAGACTGAAGAAACTTTCCAAGCTCATCTTCTTAGGTGCTAAGCTACACACGCTTCTTTATCCTTGTGTAACTTTTCTTTAAAATCTGCAGCAGAGGCAGATGAATATTTTACATGCTTTTTGAAAGCAAGGAATGGAGTCTTGAAATTAAGAGCCTATAGAAAAACACATATGAAACTATACAAGTTTTTATTTTTGCAAAATATGATTGGGGGGTTTTACTTTCGAACCACAGACAGTTCGTTGCTACATGCAAACAGTGACATCTGGTGGAATGACACTGTTTTACTTTTTGAAAAAATACAGAAAGTTATGGGAAAAGACTGCAAATAATTTCTTTTTTATGCCTTTCCATACAAAAACAGAAACATAATGGTTGAGTGTCTTATCAACCGCTGATATGTGCAGTGCAATGGCTTTTTGCCGTTACCGCTCTGTATTGTTAGAAACACGGGGGGGAGGGGGGGCACAGATAAGAGCGCTTGCAGTTCTTCCACAGTCCCAAATCTGATCTTCAGCACCCACATGGTGGCTCACAACAGTCTGTCACTCCACTTCCAGGGGATCTGACACACTCTCCTGGCCTCCATGAATACCAGGCGTGGGCACAATGCACAGACATACTGGCAGGTCAAACACATAATAAAAGGGGAAAAAAATACACAAATGGCATATGTACTAAATATGTTTGTAACAGAAACTTAAGGTCAGAAGTGACTCTGGTTCCAACTCTGCCATGCATTTGGGGGTTCAGAACTTTGCCTTCGTCTCTTCATCCACTCAAGAAGAGTGTTATGGTAAGAGGGTTAAGATGCTATAATCCTGATGTATATTATCCTGTGACATACACCACCAAGTAGACTTCAGATAAGGATTAAGTCTCAGACTCTTTGATACAATACCTTAGGCTATTGCCTAGATTATACAGCAAGGAGGCTAAGAGGAGGGTACAGCGGGGCCAGGAATAGCCTGACCATGGAGAAATGGAAGGCAGTAAGAAGAATGGGAAATGAAAGCCCATTACGAATGAAGCACAACAGATCCCGGATGACATTATCCTACAGCTGGCATCAAAAAGCTTTAGCAGGAGACAAGGGCACAGTCTAGTGGGGAGGAAAACTCGGTGGATGATGAGGAATTTTAAAAAAAAGGGGGCAACATTCAGAAACTCCAAAGCTTCATGGGGTTACATAATTAGTGTAAGGAAGTCCCCCACAGTTAGCAGTGTCCCCCACCTAGGTTCCTAGAAGGGAACAGACACTGGTCCAATCAAATAGTAAGATACAACCCACCACCACACTATAAGCAAATACTCTGATTCCAAAATTAGATGGCAATGGAATAAACGCGAACTGCAAAGGGTGAGTGAGCATGTTTCTTCCCATGCAACTAGGGACTGAAAACAGGGTGAGAATGAGTATTCAAGAGAAAGCATAAAGAGAAAAGGGGGGTTCAGAGGGGTTCAGAGATATACAGGGCAATGAGATGCAGCAAAAAACATACTGAGATTCAGAGCTGCCTGAGTCTGAATCCCGGCTTACCTGCTATGTACATATGAACCAGTTTCCTAAATGCCATGCTGCCACTTCTTCATTTGGGAAATTAAATATTTTATATACTATGTACTTGCTAGTACAAACAACACTCTTTAGGTCTCTGCTACATAATTTTCTATTTTCTTACCAAATATCACTACCTTCCTTGAAGGAGTTGGACAAAAGCTTCACATAGACCCATTCTTCATATATCTGATTTATAAGTTAGAAGATGTAGAGGTAATAACGTTGAGATAATTACACATCTGTCTCCACACAAGACATTTCATACCTCTTCAAAGGAGAAGACGCTTTCGAAATATTTCAGTGCCATTCTTATAAAAAATGTGTAATATGTGTGTTCACGAAGAGGCCTATAATAACCACTATCATATAGGAAACCCAATAGGAAGGGATCATCTTTAATAAACCTCAACAATCACTGAAAGGAAACAGGTAAATTTTCGGATCGTGCTCCATCTTCCCCCATCCTATTCAGTATTCTGAATGAGGGGAATATAAACCTTTACCTCTGTTTATGCTACTTAAGATCTTACAGGAGTGTTTTAGTACTTCCAAACTGGAGAGTGCAAACACTGTCAGGGAAACCTGTCCTATATTATTTTGGGTGGCCAGAAAAGACCTTTCTTCAGTCTCCCTTCAAATATGAGCACACAGAAAAATCCAATAGTAGTTCTACAAGGACCTGCACTGTATAACAAAGAAATACAGTCAAGGAGCCAAATGAATAATGTCAAGGGGAAATAAAAATACCTTGAAAAGATCCGTTATGGTGTACAGGAAAAACCTTCAGTGTGGAATGAAACAAGTGATCAACTAAAGACTTATACTTCCCTTAAGTGACAGAAAATTGATACTGTAACTATTGAAGTTGGGATTTCGATTTCTAGACTTTACACCTTAAAACGTGAAACCACTGGTGAGCAGAAGTTTGAGAGGTTAATACAAGCAAAAAAGTGATATACCTGAAAAATAAAAAATTAAGATCCAACTTATAGCTGGTTGGTATTTATAAAGAAACACATAAAATAAAAATAAGGCAAACATTATTCAAATAAAATAGAAAAAAATCTTCAACTGAAGAAATATGGCAGCCTATCAGGATGGCTTTGTGGGTATATGAAAAAGTTGATTAGAAAGTAGTCCACCACCAAACATATGCTAGTAAACTGGCTCTAGAACGTGAGCCTGGAAGATCTGGCCCCACCCTTCACCTGCCTATGATCGTGTGGGTGGGGGAGATATGTCTTTCCCTCCCTCCCTGCCCCTCA